TGCTGACGATAGCACACTTATTTCGTCATTTCTTTTGGATTCCTGGACATCGGCTACAGAGGCACATCTTCACCGACAGCAGGAGGTTGCATTTCTTAATGAGGATCTAGAAGCGATTTCGAATTTGGGTGAAAGTAATCAGGTTCTATTCAATGCCATAAAAATCCAGGCATTGGTTTTCTCCGAGAAGATAAGTGTCTCCAAACCAGATATAATAATGTCAGGATAGACAATTGTGCTTTCTGTTGGGGGTTAAAATGGACACTTATAATTGATATCCTTAATATAACTCTTCCAATTGACACCAATATGTCTTGGTACAATCATGTCGCTTTAATTGGAAATGCTGCTTCTCAAAAGTTTGGAACACTTTGAATTGAAGGGGTTACAGTTTTAGGAGTGAATCATTTTTGGGAAAGGAAGTTTTTGACTTTCTACTACTCCATCTTAATACAAAAAAAGATGTGGGAATCTACTAAAGAAAGGAAGGAAGTAATCAATTTGAAAATAAGTAACTCTATACATGGATGTGTAGATCATGCAAAGAAGTAACTTTTAGATACAAACTGGAAGAAAGTACTCCTGAAACAGCTACTTTCATATAAACATTGAACTACATGAAAGAAAAAAATCTTTCGAAATCTACCATCTATCAAGAGATCTATTTTTGATAGATTCTTCAACGTCTTCGATAACGCCATTGCAATGATATGTTAATCATTTGATGTTATGGTTTGATGAAAATATCGTAAATATAACGATAATTGTTGGAGAGAAATGGACTAGACTTGTTAATCAAATAAATACTAATTTTGCTACCGTACACTCATAACAAAAGCAATTATTAGTGTTCCCATACTTTCGCAAAGTTGCTCAACAAAAACCGTACAGAAGTAATAAATAATACGTTTTGCGCAATATTATTAACACATTTTACGATTTGTATCGCAGGCCGTAGTTTAGAAAATAACCATTCATTATGCACGAAGTTATATAAGGCGATCTAGAACCGCTCTTAATGAAATGCTGCTAACCTGATGCTCCATTTTGCCGACGTCCGGGTTTTATTATTGTTTATTCGATTATCCACTTTCATTTTTATCGAGCTAATTATGGTTATCCATCTTGATAATGGTTGTTTGATACTTTTATTATACTTCCTTCATTATACCTCGTAGACCACATGTTTTTAGAAAGTTTGTTAGATACAGTAGTACATTTTTAGGAGTTTAGGGGTTTAGGGGTATCCTTTTCAACCGGTATGAACTTAGCAGCTAAAAGGTAGCAGCCAAAATCCCGAAAACACCCGAGCGCACACAGACGTACGTCGTTTGTATCCCTGGGCGGTTTTATCTTTGCTTCTCACAGTAAAGTATCACGACTTTCGATTCAGTTTTGAATTTTATCCTCATTTGACAGGCTTTTTTCTTCTAGAAGTTTCGATTACTCTTTAAAGGTATGTCTCCATGTGACCCCATTCAATTATTTCACTATTTGAGCCCTTCTAACTGATGGTCTCATCTACTACGTCTGATAACAATACATGTTTTCAGTGATAGATAATTACTTACAAATGTACTCATCCCCTATTTATACTTTTTTTTTGAATCTGCTTTTTCAGTGGGCATATTCGAAATAGTTACACGAGGTGTTCGTTCAGCGATAATAATAGAGCTTCTAATCATTTTTCACCTTTTTAGTGTTTATTTCTCCGTAATAATTTTTCGACGTACGTCTATGTGCGCTCGGGTATTTTCGGGATTTTGGCTGCTACCTTTTAGCTACCAAGTTCACACCGGTTCCTTTTCAGGAAACAAAATGTATGGAATTCAGAATAATTATCCCTCTGATTTATTTTAAATTGTATCCAGGAACTGAACCACGACGGATATTGAATTAAATGTTATACTCTCCAGAGCAAGATTTCTCAAAGAAGCCATTATCACATGTTGTTGGTCACCTGAATGTGTCCATTTTATGATTTTGATACTCATTCCAAAGAGCTCTAACATGTTATATTGAATATAAAGAGTCGTTGGAACGACCTGTATAGGTATAGTTCGTTGTACATCGGATAGAAACCTTATTTTCTTGAGGAATACTCGGGGACATCCTGAGGACGCAATGCCGTAATGTCACTCCTTCTTTGGATTTTATCATGACATCATCAAAAAATATACCGGAGAGAGGCTGAATTTTCTCCGGAATGTCCTGCCGCGTTACAAATGCTTCATTATGGAAATTTGGAATTATGAAAAAACTATGTGATGTCTGGGTTGCCACTGACCAGAAAGGAGCATACGAATATTCATAATTCTTTGGTTGTACAGCTACTTACTATCGTTTCTTATTTATTATTTTTAATGTGCACGAGTGTTAATGAATCTAATATGAGATTTTCGGCGAAAGGCAACCGTCTGCAACGATGGTTTACTGACTGAAATTCGAGTTGATGGTTAGGCAGACGATATTGTTTATATCTTTGAAGCTTCTAATATCGAAATTTGAAAGTAGTCGTCGATGTCTTTTTTCATTTCTTCGCTTCTCTCTTTATTGTTTTCTACCAATGTTGGTGTTCTTTAGGAATTATATGGTATCAAATCTCTTTTAGTACTGTACTAGAAAAAAGCTGATGAAGCACAATTGTATTGTTCTTTGGATGTATAATCTACAGTGCATTTCTTTAATGCACCCCCCCCTTTTATTTTTTGACCGGGTCAACTCAAAAAATTGAAATTTGGGAGAAATTAATGCATGAATACTTCATTTTGAAGTGGAATTGACAGATGAAACTTTCAAGATGGCGACTGGACGCCATCTGGGAAAAAAAAGTAAATGGAAAGGGGCTCTTGTGACACATCATTTTGAAGCTCCTGACGAATACTTCACAACCCTATGAAGTCAATATTTTCACTTACTACAAAATGACGAAACATTTAATAATTTCGTGAAGACAAACACATTATTATCGATATTTCTAGAAATATTCCTTTTTATCTGTCATATGACAATTCCAATTTTTTTTGTTTATAAAAACGACAAAAAATTTCAGTACGGCAATGAACATCATTGTTCAGTTAGAATATTCTCATTTAGTTTTCGGTTTCACTAGTAGAGAGGTACCACGTCAACAATATCTAAAATGGTCAAATATCGTCCATTGGAAGAAAAAATTGAACCGATTTTTATTTACGGTGCGAGGCGTAACTTTCACGAGACCGAAAGGTTTTTCAATGAAGGTTTTCCTAATCGTCCTATCTGTAGAAAATATTTGAGGGAACTTGTATCTAAATTCACAACTACCGGTAGTGTACATAACAAAAAGCTCCCAGGTCATCTGTTCATTCCGGAAGAGCAACAAATGCAAATGATTGGTGAGATGATAGTAAATCCTGAACAGTCTACTTATTCCGTCGCAAATGTTTGTGAGGTGTCTCCTTCTACTGTGTGGAGACTTTTGAAGAGGAATAGGTATCATCCATACACAATTAAAATGGTAGGTACATCAATTAACTGAAGATGACCCTATTCGAAGAACAGAATTCTGCGAAATCATGACGGAAATCATTGCAAGGCATCCTACCTATCTCCACAATATTTGTTTCAGTGACGAATGTACATTATTTTAACGGCAATGTTCACAGACAAAAATGGCCTTTATGGGAGTGACACCAACCCTCACGTTTTCCGGGAAACACATACCCAATATCCAGATAAAAATAACGTTTGGGCAGGAATATTGGGAAACCATATTGTAGGACCTCTATTTATTGATCAAAATTTAACAGAGGAATTGTATTTGAATATGCTGGAAACTATTGTTGACTCTCTCATCACTGAAATCGTCAAAGCGAATCCTAATGAATTCGATATGGATATTGTATTCCAACAAGATGGAGCACCACCACATTACTCCAAACAAGTAAGAAACTATTTGGATACTACTTTTCCCGGTCGTTGGATTGGCCGTCGAGGTCCTACAGAATGGTCAGCGCGCTCGCCAGATTTGACACCTTTGGGCTTTTTTTATGGGGATATTAGAAGCAAAAGGTGTACGAAACTGAACCTGCTTCAATACTGGATAGAGAATAATAAATATTTGTAGAGATATTGACGTTACTGTGGTCGAAAATATTCGGACTGAAATATCGGATAAGTTGTTCATATTTCGAGCACCTCCTGATCTGACCTTTCGCTTATTACCTCATATTATGTAGTTAAATGTCAATGTATTCAGGCAATTGTTCAAAGTTCCGCCATTTTGTAGTAGTTGGAGATATTGACATCATATTCTAGGGTTGTCAAGTATTCTTCAAAATGATGTGTCACAAGACCCCCCTTTCCATTTAATTTTTTTTTCAGATGGCGCCCACTTGCCATTTTGAAAGTTTCATCTGTTAATTTCACTTCAAAATGAAGTATTCATGCATTAATCTCATTATCTTAATTTTAAATGTTTTGAGTTGATCCGTTCAAAAAATAAAAGGGGGAGAGCATTAAAGAAATGCAGTGTATAATACTAGAAAATCTCAAACTTCAGTTCTCTGAGAAACTGTGTCGGATCTCGACATATTCTGTAATATCATGTTGGCACAGTCATTTTGCTGAAATAACTACTATAATTCAAAAACACTATTTTGAATTACAGATATACAAGTCTCCGCAGCTTTGAAAGCTTGTGAATATTCATGTGAAAAGTCAAAATTGTAATGATATTGTTTGTTTTTCATCCATAACTCAAAGACGTTTAATTGCCAACACCATTCATAAACATTAAGGAACGAGTCCAGGGATGGATCCTTGTGGAGGACCGAGATAACCAGAAAAAAATTATTCAATAAAACTCGTTCCACCCAGTTTCTAAGAAGTGATCAGATCACTTATATCCTTCAAAAAATATTTCAGTTTTTAAACCAGAACAACTAAATATCTCCCTTTCAGCAATTTGAAAACTGATCCCAATGATTCTCCCAACACCTGACAGAAAGAAACTCTCTCACCTCACCTCAATTAAATGTATCCTAGTTTCTCACACAGAAAGAACTGTTCAACAAACGAAGTGGCACATTATACAGCAAAGCACTCGATTGACTTAAGTCCGCGTTCTCTCTTGACGGATCGCGTTGAACTACCTTCGAGCTCTTGTCGATTTACCTTCCAGAAGCTACCGAAGAACCAGATCTCTTGGCACGCGTCTTCGCAGAGGTGGGAGTGTCAAAATCTGTCGGGGCGATTACTTTTACTTGTTTCAGTGTGAGTGATTTATATGAGACAATGGAAGGATTAATTGTTTCGAAAAGAAACATGCCGTGTTTACATGCGATACTTTGTATCACTTGGCTATTGTTTTTATTAGACTTCGGGTGCTACCAGAAATTCTGATTTTATTTCATATGCAACACACTTGTCCTTGAGAGTTTTAGCTCTTGGGCAAGGTTGGCGAAGCTTACATTCTTCTTTATTTTCCAAAAATAAAGTCTAATAAAAATTGTTGAAGGTCAGATGGCAAGAAGGTTTATTTTTCGTACTCAGGTACTGAAGGAATGGTGTACCACAAAGAAGACTTCAATGTAGTCCTCAGGTTAGTTACATCTTAATCAATTGTGTAGGTAAATTACTCTTGAGCCGACAAAGTTGAACAGCTTTGAACTGTGACCTTTATAGCGAGTATTATTTTTTGAGTTGACTACAAAGTTCCAATAGTTTTTGATTAATGTTCAACCCTCTGTTTGATGAGTCGATAACAAGCCCTATTAGCCTTGAACAGACAACGTGTTACCTCAGGCCTGGTACTAGAGTGCCACCAAGATTTAGCCAAAGCCTCGGTAACATCTGACTGAAAACATCTGCACCATAACCTAGAGATGTTTCTGATCCATCTATGAACCGACAAGTATCTGTACAAAGTCATCGTTTTGAAAATTTTCAAGGGTTTCTGAAGCTGGTGAGAACTATCTTCATTATCTGTCGGTCAATTTGCAGTACTGGTCGCAATGATATTGGTTGTCCCCTGTTGAAATCTTCGGTAGAAGAAGGTGATCCACTCAAATGGTCCGAATGGTAGAAGAATGAGATTGTAGGTCCATGTCATTATATTCGATCTGGCTTCTGATTCCGCACTCTCCGCATGATGCGATAAACATTGTTTTATCTCCGAATAATTGTTCATGAAGGTTGTTGTAGGTGGTTGATGCAGCTCCTTCATTTTCAGCATCACTCATAATGCCGCTGAAGTTTCTTCTCTGTTGCTGTATTTATTGTGTCAGAAAGGAAACCCAATGCTAATGACTAGGAAAAACCTGCAGACTTCGCCAAGTTCAAAATATCGAAAGGAAATATCTTTTTTATGATACAGAATTTCGTTTCTATATTTATTCGCCACAAACTAAACTTGTAGAACGCTGTTCAAGTAGCAAGTATTTCCCATATTTATTTATTTATTCATATCAAATAGTTGATGTCAATGACCTCAACTATGTCGTTTATGAAGGCGTTAACGAGAAGTGGACTTGGGTTGCTTCCTTGTGAAACACCCGAGGTAGCTGCATATTCCACATAGTTGAAGCCATTGAATATAACATACTGACGCCTGTCAGTGGAGTACAAAAAGATGCCACAACACTATTCACATCCAAATTTGGGATCAATGTGTTCTCAAACTATTTCTCGAAAATATTAGCTTTCATGTTCTTATGATAGTCAACACTGCAGTCCTCAAGTTTTTTCCACATAATTTCAAAGGATTCGGAACCCATCCTTTACTTTCTTCGCAATGCACAATGATTAGTTGTGCGATCCTTTGTTTGCAGGCATGTTAGACGTACACATTCTCGAACCATCAGTCCATCCTTTCGTGAATGTGTCGTGTGTGTCATACCAAGTTTCGTCCAAATACAAAATGTGCCGTCGTTCTGGGATATATTTAGTTATTTTTTCTAAGTATTTGTTACACAATTCCACTATTCTTCTACTTTCCATAACTGCTTGACGCTTGTTTATTATTTTAAATCTAAATCCTAGTTTCTTCATCCAATTCTGAAGAGTTTTGTCGCAGCAGCTCACGTTATGGCCCGAAGTATTCAATTTCTTCCTTCTGATTTCAGTTGTAGGAATCCCATTGCTTCTATAATAGTCGTATATTGTTTTTTTCAATGATTTTATTAGAAGGTTTTGGTAATCCTGTATCACATCGCGTCTTGCGTTCAAAAGGTTTGTTTTTGACAATTTTACTTACAGTTGAGATAGCCACTTCGTTCAAATCTGATGTAGCTTGTAATAGTTCGTTTCCCTCAAAACTTGAGCTCGAAGCTTGAGATATAGATTCTTATATACATTTAAATATACTCTCTTAGTTTCAATATTCAAATGCATCCGAATCTTATTCACTGGTATCTATTTTTCGCATTATTCAACATCGCTATTGGAATCACTACACTGGAAAAAGTCTGTGTTGTCTCACTCATTACTTCTATTAGTACTTGTCCAAGGACGCCACATTTTAAACAGATAACAAAAATTTCAAGTAATTATAACTGTACCAATATCGAATTTCTACACTCAAATCGCGATCAGTTCCTGAACTAAACACGACGGCGACAACCTTCCACGCATTCCTGATTTCTATTCGTCACCGTTACATAACTTCATATTTGATTTTATGACTCTTCAGCCACTCATAAAACTCGGTTAGTAAAAATTATCCAATACGAACCGCCAAGTCTACGTGGACTAATTCGCTTCTGGTTCATTTCTATTTATTGTTTTTTTTTGGCCTTTGAGAGTGCCGCCAACTTTGAGAGTGCACAATATCGTTTACTTCGACTATACCAGTTCGTAAGGCTACACATTGATCCATATAATTAAGGTCGACCTTTTGAAAGAAGATTTTGTTCGTTATCGAGAATCTTGAGGTTTTTACCGAGAATTTCCAGTGCAACGCTTGCTTGTACTCCAATTACTCAGAACAAGAGTGGATCATTTTAGAAATTCGAAACGTTTTAATGTATAATCTTTATGTAGTCTGATTTAGCGACAGGGACCCTCTTTCAAGTAAATGACTTAGTATCTAGCCTTTTTTTAGAACGCTGCAACAGATACGACCCCGAGTATGGCATTTTTGTGACAGTTAAAGCGAAATTTCAGGGTCTCATATAATACAGGGCTCAACTCATTGAATGCGTGGTACAATCATAATTATCCTCATTTGAATGGGAATAAAACTAACATATTTGTGATTTCCTTCTGCCCAAAACAGAGGGCATCTCACGATCACACTGCGTATATCTTTAACCGAAATCATATAGCTTTTGCTATACAGGGTGCCAATTTGAAAACTTCCCACCCTTAATATCTTCCTTCCAGTAAACAATATGAGGAATCGAAAAAAACGGGTCAATTTTATTGTCAAGGGTGACACTTTCAAGGACTAATTGTAGCCCTTGTGGTTCAAACCCCTAGTAGGGGTAGATGTTACCCTTAGAATTTCAAATGGAAAGGCGGGTCAAGTGGCATATCATTTTGATTGGCGTTCAATTCTACTTCCAATAGTATCCTGACTTATTATTTATTGATGAGCATTTTTCTGAAAAATAGCGTTCTTCACAGACTCTATCCATTATTATTATCGTAATTATTTGAATTATTATCATCAAAATACATGTTGCCATGAATACAATGTGTGATCTAAGGTTTGAATTATTCAAACACACTCTTATCCACCAGATTTGGCTCCGTTCGACTATTAGCCGCTGAAAAAAAGTTTAAAAAAGTATAATTTTTTTCTTACAACATTTGTAGGACTGGTTTGCTTGGAGGTCTAGAGGCTTTGCAGTTTTGTGGTGATTAGAAGAAGAATATGTTAAATAATGAAATACTTGATTTTCACATTTTATTTGCTACTATATTAGGGTAAGAAATGGTGAAACAAACCACAAATAAGGGGCAAGTGTTAAATTTCGCGAGGTTGATTAATTTATATAACATTTTATCACAGTTTCCGTTTATTCTACTTCGTTATATTAGCTAATTATCGAAAAATTGAATATGTTACTTAATTCCCAGAGAATATTCCGTAATATGAAAACACTGCATACATTAATTTCGAATTCGTGGCATTCTCCGGAAGAAATATCGATAAAATAGATAGATGAATAGTCATTGGCAGAATCTATAAGGAGGACGTGGGAAATAAATCAAAAGACTATAAATTATACATCAGTGTATAATCGATTTTGCACAATAGCAGTTTATAGCGTCGATATTTCAATTTAACCGCATTTTTTGAGTACTTTGATATGACCTGAATTTGACGGCTCTCAACAACTTCATTAAAATTTTACAACCTGCAGATCAGTACTTGGTTTATTGATAAATGTAAATCAAACACTATTAACGATGTGAGATAAACAGATGAGTATTTAAAAATGCAATCTGGAAATGTTAATTTTTGGCGAGTAGGATACTATACTTTTTCTATGACTCATGACAAAAATGTTTTGAAATAAGATTCACTCAATTGCGTAACAAATATCAACCTAAAACATCATTCAAAAAATTTGTTTATATTCTTGTTTTCTGTTAGGAACTATATTTTCGAAACGAAATGACAGTTCAATAATTACCTAAGTTTGACGTTTCAGAACATGTTCTGAAGTGGGGATTTCTCATGGCTTACCCTCTTGCGACTGAAAATGATTGAAACAACTAATACTTGATGAAAATCAATAATTAAACACATTAATACTGTTTATTGTATGATTTTCACTATAAAGGATTTTACAAAAACGTGTCGCGGTTTTTTGTAAAATCTTTTATAGTGAAAATTATCCAATTAACTGTATTAATGAGTTCAAAAAATAGATGTTGCAGGACTCAATTGGGTATATTCATAGATATCAAGGAAACGTTTGATGAAACAACCTTTCCAACAATTACCCAGCAACTACACTTCAGGAATGTACCGGTGGTATTAGGAGAATGGATACTCAAGATGCTCTCTAGTAGAGCAATAAGTATTAATGTAGAAGACATCACAGTGAATGGACTGGTCATGAGGGGATGTCCACAGGGAGGGGTCTTATCACCCCTTCTCTGGAACATAGTTCTGGATA